AATGACTCATGAGGTTATTGGAAAACCCAGAATTAGAACTTTAGTTCAACCCTTCCTACCTGTACCATTCCTTATGCATTTTCTATTAAAGAGCAGTGAGAGAAATAACCATGAAATCAACCAATGAAAGTCTCAGGACAGCTAGTGTTTATCTGATTTTGTGACTCACTACACATAGAAAAAGATGCTTTTTCTCTTTACCAAAACAAAATAGAAAAAAATGTGCTTTAGGAAATCGTGTAGAGTTGTTATTACTATTATCATGATTGTCAATGGTGGAATAATATTATAGAAACAGACTTGTAACCAGAACAGACCTAATGTAGTTCTGCTCCAAGTAGCAAAGATTGTTATGGAAATCTAAGTGAAAGGTGTATAGTAATGAACTTTGTGTAGGGTCTTATTGTTCTAATCAGTTTGAACACTTGTTGAGACCATTTTACAAATCACATAGAAAGTAAATTATGCTGTTTTAGCAGGGGAAAAGCCTCACTGTTCACTCTAAATAGCCTAGCATTCAAAAGAATTCCTCTTTCAGGCCAGCGTGGTGGCTCACACCTGTAATCCCAGCATTTTGGGAGGCTGAGGCAGGCGGATCACTTGAGGTCAGGAGTTCAAGACCAGCCTGGCCAACATGGTGAATCCCTGTCTCCACTAAAAATACAAAAATTAGCGAGGCGTGGTGGTACATGCCTATAATCCCACCTACTCAGAAGGCTGAGGCACGAGAGTCACTTGAACCCAAGAGACGAAGGCTGCAGTGAGCCGAGATCATGCCACTGTACTCCAGCCTGGGCAATCGAGCAAGATTCAGTCTCAAAAAAAAAAAAAAGAATTCCTCTTTCAGAACCTTTCTATGGAAACAGGTTATAAGGAAACAGGATGCTATAAAGCTTTCCAAAACAGCTAGATTTAAAAATTACCCTGAAGGCTACATTTGAGAGGAGACAAATAAATTTACAAGAGAATCAATCGCCTGACATCGTATTCTGTGTAGCATGTTTCACTTAAAGCAAGCTTGTTTTTGGCTTGTTTGTTCCATATGCTTTGACATGATCAGCAGCTGAAGATTGAATAGGCTGAGAGCTCCTTCTGGAAAGACCAGCCCTGAGAGGCTGGTGAGGCCTAAGTGAGCGTGTGCATGGCTGCAGGCCAGCTTGCCTCAGCAGTGCCCTGAGCACAGGTACACGGCCTCTGTGGTGTGATCGCATGTACTTTAACAAACGCCCTCAGTAGCTCCACATAAAGCCAGTACTCTGAAAGTAATTATACCAGTATAAAAAGACAGAGAAACCTCAAGCAGTGTAGGGTATACTTTGGTAAAATGTATTTAACCTTAGTTGTAGGAGGTGATATTAACCATAATTTGCTAAAATAACTCATTCAGTCATTTAAATGATCGGGCACATGCCTTCATGGAACTCACAGGACAGTAAGACTACAAGATCTTGATGAAGTTGTAAGCAGTCTGTGTCACCTCTGTAATTGTGGAGAGAGGGAATGGGAATACTGCTTTAATTCATGTATGGGAGCATATTGACTAGGCTCTCACCAAATGTTCTCGTATTTCTATTAATTTGGACTGTATTCCTCCTGATATTCTGATGCCACTTCCTCTGTCACTGCCTCCTTTTCTTTTCCTTGCATTTTAAACATTGGCTTCCACATGCACTTTACCCTTTTCTTGCCCTTCTCCTCACTCCTCAGTTCTGCATAGACAACTTCATTTCAGATTCTTTGCACCTAGCCACATGTATGCCCATAAATCCCAGCTTAGACCTCCCTCCGCTGAGCTTTAGACCAGTATTTTCAACTGTCTCCTGAACATCTTCATCTGCATAAGCTAAGACCCCTTGAATTTAGCACATCCCATCCAAATTAATTTTATTTCTCAAACCTTTTACATCTATTTGATCTTTCTTAATGCCATGCAAGCTACAGAGTAGTCTAAGCCAGTCATGCTGTCATTCCTTTTCACTCTCAACTCATCACCGCTAACTAATCATTAAATTCTATAATTTCTGCCTTCTTCAGGTATCTCGAATGTGTTCCCTCCTCTCCATTACCACTGCCATCACCTCAGTTTGCATTTTCAACATTTACAGGAGCTTCTGATCTTCTCTGAAGCTGGCTTTTCTTTTCCAACTCTTCCTTCACATAGTAGCCGGAGGAGGAGTCCCTCATAATTGCCTGATTTGTCACTCTCCTGCTTAAAACTTTCAGTGGCTTCATATTTTCTGCCATTGTTACATTCTCAAGTACCTACAGGAATTAGGCAAATAACATGTATAAGTGAAGTGGGCCAAGTGTGACACAATAAGGAAGAATAAGAGAGTACATTTCTGTCTAAAGAGATTTATCATCAGAATTGTTTAAAACATACGACAAACCAGCCAGGTGCTATGGCTCATGCCGGTAATCCAAGAACTTTGAGGGGCTGAGGCAGGAGGATCATTTGAGGCCAGGAGTTTAAGAACAGCCTGGGCAATGAGTGAGATCCCATCTACACGAAACAGAAAAATTATCCAGGCTTGGTGGCACGTACCTGTAGTCCTAGCTACTCCAGAGGATGAGGCAGGATCGCTTGAGCCCAGAAGTTTGAGGTTATATTGAGCTATGATTGTGCCACTGCACTCTAGCCTAGGTGACAGAACAACACCCCATCCCAAAAAACAAAAACGCATGACAAACCTATATGAAAGTTTAATGTTGCCTGTGGATCCTCCATTTAGTACAGCCAAGCCTAAACTCCTGAGCGTAACACAGGCAATGTTTTGTGATATTGGTTATCTCCTTGAGATGATCAACTTGGAATGTTCAGTTTTTGCAGTGACTGACACAACCAGTGATTCATGCTTTGCTGCTTAGTTTTTAGGTCAAATCATGTCAGCATGAAGAGTGTGTGTTCATTCTAAGTACCTCTGTGTTCACATTAGAGGCTGTAATATAAGTTTGTAGGCTTTGAAGTCAGTGTTGACTTAAGTTCAATTCCTAGTTCTACCAAAAAGAAGCTGTGTGATGTTTGAGCTACACATTTAACTGCTCTGAGCCCCAATATACTACTCTGTTTAAAAATAAAGAAACATTTTCAAGATTGAGAGTATGAAGTCAAATAATGAACACCTCTAATTATCTAGCTCAATGCCTGGCACATAGTAACTCCTAAGTAAAATGTTAACATTGAGACAGGTAGCAAAAATTTGAGAAGTGGCATACAAAACTAGTCCCCCCTGACCCCCACTGCATCCTTCCTGACAATTGTAGGCTGGGCATGGTAGCTCATGCCTGCAATCCCAGGACTTTGAGAGGCCAAGGTGGGAGGATCACTTGAGGTCAGGAGTTCAAGATCAGCCTGGCCAGCATGGTGAAACCCTGTGTCTATGTGGCCTAAAGGAAAGCAAACCTGTTGGAAGTCAATATCAAGTGAAACAGACAATTGGAAGCTGACATACACATGGTTCACCCAGGCAACTAAAAACGAGGAGTTTCCAACGTAGCTGCCTAGCTACCCAAAATGAAATTTGAGCCCAGAAAGTTGTTGCTATTGACAAATTTTTGCACAAGATGGGAATATGGCCTCTCTAACAATTGTTCATAATATACAAAGTTCATTTTACTTTTTTCTCTGCATATAATCTTTACTTTTTTCTTATAAATGATATTAACTGAAATTTTAATTCAATAGTATAAGGATACATAGAATATTTATTGTGGTTTATTCTCTAGAGCTATATAAATTTGAAGCACCAAAGGAAGGAAGTAAACAACTTAAGTTTTCTTTGCCAGAACATTTAGTACAGTAAGGGAGGAAGGCTATTGAGTTTATGTTTTATTCCAATGCACAGAGTATATTAATTATATTATGACTGATCTAGGAACACTAAGGAAGCCTTGAAGAGCTTTCGTCATCAAGGGAAAGGAAATATATCATCTTGTCAAGCTTTGCATTTTTTCATTTTGTTATTTAAACTTCATCTTAATTTTACCATTTAAGTATACTTAGTAATTTGTGTATGGAGCTGATATGATTGAACTAGGGGGCTGAGGCCAGAAGCAGTGGCTCACACCTGTAATCCCAGCACTTTGGGAGGCCAAGGTGAGTGGATCACTTGCAGTCAGGAGTTCAGGACCAGCCTGGCCAATATGGTGAAACTGCGTGTCTGCTAAAAATACAAAAATTAGCCAGGCATGGTTGTTTGTGCCTGTAATCCCAGCTACTCAGATGGCTGAGGCATGAGAATCACTTGAACCTGGGAGGCAAAGGTTGCAGTGAACCAAGATGCACCACTGCACTTCAGCCTGGGGGTAGGGGAGGTGACAGAGTGAAACTGTGTCTCTAAAAAAAAAGAAAGAAAGAAAGAAATAGGGGGCTGAGTACCTTACAGTATACTTTTCTGCCTTACCATAGAGCTGTAGTGATAATAAACTAATACAGGAAATCAACTTGAAGTTATCCATATTGGCAGGGTGACATGCCCAGAATTCCTGATTGTACTTTCAATAAAGAGACTAGAAGGAACAAAGTAGAAAGCTGGCTTGTTGTGTGGGCAAGACTAAGATGTAGTGTTTCAACTTCTTACTTTACAGCAATATGTCTCACCCCAGACACACTTTCTTGCCCAGATAAATAATAACATATTCAAGCAACAGAACAACATTAGTATTATACAGCTAAGAAGATTGTGTCTCTGAAAGTAAAGCTAAACTACTTATGACAAAGAATGTTGAAACAAAAAGATAGACAAGTGCCATCTTTACTGGCCATAGTAATACTCTTTTTTTGGTTTCAAGGAGTATTCTTAAAAGGTTGATCTCAATAAATGCAGTATCATTTTCCATTTATTGAGACTCTGACTCGTTCACTTTTATGGTGACTTTGATATTACATTTTAGTGTTTAGCCTTTTGTTTTTTTTTTAAAGGGATTTATTTTTGGTCAATGCCTTCTAGGTATTTTTTCTCTCTCTCACCCTTTCTCCTCTTCTTCCTTTCTACTTGCAGCTCCTCAGAGAAATTTTGAAATTGCCTTCAAGATGTTTGATTTGAATGGAGATGGAGAAGTAGATATGGAGGAGTTTGAACAGGCAAGTTGTCCTAGAGAGTTCCTTTAAATACATTAATATTTAAAATACATTTTCATGAGCCTTGGAGTTACCCTAACCTTGGTCAGTGTACCCAGTGGCTATTTCAATTTTTGAAGTACCTAAAATGTCATTTCTCAAAATTATTCTTTGAACAGTTTGGTTTTGTTTGTTTTCACTCTGAATGTAATAGATTATTTGAACGTACCATTAAGGTCACGGTTGCTCCAATTCCCCAACATAAATTAGGTTATAATGCCTCTAGCTGGGAGGCTAAATTATGGCAATTCACCATTTACCGAAAAGCTGCTGTGTGCAGTTTTTGGTAAATGGCAGTTCTAGAATACTAGGACTACGTATTTTCTTAAAGGATTTCTATATAAGAGAAGGAAAAATGGTACCATACTTTGACTATAGTAGGTGACAGTTTCTTCCAAATCCTAGGAATAGATTACATTTCCATAGAACTTCTGCCTTTGGGAAACCATGGTATTTCTCCAAATATAGCTATTATGATTGCCAGAAGTGGTTTCAAAACAAAAACTATATGTATAGGAAAAAGCATTTTTTGTATTCTCAAAATGAAGAAAAGGGCAAATATTTCAGGAAGTGGGAGAAAATGTCAGGTATATTATATAAAATAAGAAGCTGGGCTGGGCCCGATGACTCATGCTTATAATCTCAGCATTTTGGGAGGCAGAGGTTATAGGGGGACTGCTTGAGGCCATGAGTTCAAGACCAGCCTGGGCAACATAGTGAGACCCTGTCTCTATAAGGAAAAGAAATTAGCTGGGATTGGTGGTATGTGCCTGTAGTCCTAGCTACTCCAGAGGCTGTGGTGGAAGGATCACCTGACCTCAGGAATTTGAAGTAGCTATGATCATGCCATTGTACCCCAGCCTTTTTTTTTTTTGTTTGTTTGTTTGTTTGGAGACAAGGAGACAGAGTCTCACTCTGTCACCCAGGCTGGAGTACAGTGTTGCAATCTTGGCTCACTGCAGCCTCCACCTCCTGGATTAGCTATCCTCCTTCCTCAGCCCACCAAGTAGCTGGGATTATAGGTACCCGCCACCACACCCAGCTAATTTTTGTGTTTTTAGTAGAGACAGGGTTTCACCATGTTAGCCAGGCTGGTCTTGAACTCCTGACCTCAAGTTCTGCCTGCCTCAGCCTCCCAAAGTTCTGGGATTACAGGCATGAGCCACTGCGCCTGGCTGTGGGAGAGTTTTTGAGTCTCAAAAACAAATGTTCATCCTTTTCTCAACAGAGATTTTCTAAGAGGATACTAGTTATAAAGATGTCAGGCTGTCTGTGTTAAAATCCTAATCCTGCTACTTGCTAGTCACTTGACCTTGAGCAAGTTATTTAATTCTTTGTGCTTCAACCTCCTTTATAAAATGAGGATAATAGGACCTATAAGATTATCATAGGCTGGGCATGATGGCTCACGCCTGTAATCCCAGGACTTTGGGAGGCCAAGGTGGGAGGATCACTTGAGGTCAGAAGTTCAAGACCAGCCTGGCCAACATGGTGAAACCCTGTCTCTATTAAAATACAAAAAAATTAGCTGGTTGCAGTGACTAACACCTATAATCCCAGCACTTTGGGAGTCCAAGGCGGGTGGATCACCTGAGGTCAGGAGTTCAAGACCAGCCTGGCCAACCTGATGAAACCCTGTCTTTACTAAAAATACAAAAAATTAGCTGGGTGTGGTGGCGCACACCTGTAATCCCAGCTACTCAGGATGCTGAGGCAGGAGAATTGCTTGAACCCGGAAGGCAGAGGTTGCAGTGATCTGAGATTGCACCACTGCACTCCAGCCTGAGCAATAAGAGCAAAACTCCCTCTAAAAAAAAAAAATAGCCAGGCATGATGGCATGCACCTGTAGTCACAGCTACTCAGGAGGCTGAGGCATGAGAATTGCTTGAACCCAGGAGGCAGAAGTTGCAATGACCTGAGATTGTACCACTGCACTCCAGCCCAGGTGACCAAGAGAGACTCTGTCTCAAAAAAAAAAAAAAAAAAAATTGTCGTAAACATTAAAAGAGATAATTATAATATAGAGTAGGAAAATAGTAAACAATAGTTATGATTCTTTTCTATTATGTTTTTTCATTTCCTAATATTTTTCTGGCTGCGGGTTTGATTCTGTATTAGGTTCAGAGCATTATTCGCTCCCAAACCAGTATGGGTATGCGCCACAGAGATCGTCCGACCACTGGCAACACCCTTAAGTCTGGCTTGTGTTCAGCCCTCACAACCTACTTTTTTGGAGCTGATCTGAAGGGAAAGCTGACAATCAAGAACTTCCTGGAATTTCAACGTAAACTTCAGCATGATGTTCTGAAGCTCGAGGTAGGTCTTTCTTGGACTTAGCAGATCCATCACATGTGGAGCTGGTGGGCAGGAGGGCCTGTACTATAGGCATTTTTTTTCAACACGGAGTTTTGCTCTTGTTGACCAGGCTGGAGTACAATGGCACAATCTCTGCTCACTGCAACCTCCGCCTCCTGGATTCAAGCAATTCTCTGCCTCAGCCTCCCAAAGTGCTGGGATTACAGGCATGAGCTACTATACCCGGCCCTATAGGCATTCTTTCCATTTACCTCCAGCTGTGAGAACTGATTGGTTTGGAGCTTATCAGTGATTTATAAACTGACAGCAGATAGGAAACAACATGTTCTATGAAAACGTCATGAAGTGAGGTGTTTCTGGAATTGAAAACCAAAAACCTCTAAATTGAAAATCTTAGCTGCGTTTGTATGCCCAGTTTGTGGAGAAAGAAACTCAAGGGCTCATAGCAGTTCTCCATCTGAGCATATATTCCTGCTTTTATGTTTACTGTGTGGAAGACAGCAGAAGATGGAGATGAAGAAGGATGGATAGTTGCAAAGGTAGTAAGAGCTGGAAACACAAAATGTCAGAATAAAAACATATGTGCTTATCCGTCCTTCACAGTGGCGCACACCTGTAGTCCCAGATACCCGGGAGGCCAAGGTGGGAGAATCGCTTGAGCCCAGGAGTTTGAGAGCAGCCTGGGCAACACAGTGAGATCCTGTCTCTTTAATTGTTTAAGACAACTTTGCTCAGAGTAGCAAAGGTATCTTACTGTGTTTGGGGATTTACAAGTTTACTTTTTCACTTAAAGTTTAGAACATCATGCTATTCTGGCTATTTATTCTATTCCATTCAAAACATTCATTAAATGCCTTCCATATGTACTTTTGTCTGGAGACAAAAAAATCTAGT